TCTATCTATCTATCTATCTATCTATCTATCTATCTATCTATCTATCTATCTCTTTATGTCTATCTATCAAATTGATTTTACCAAATAATAAAACATGATGCAGGGTAATATTTTTCCTCATCTGCTTAAGATAACTGAAGAAGTGTCCTGTAGTCTTTCGCCTATCTTAACATGCCCTGACTGGATTTAGGAATCCCATACGCTCCATGGACTACCTCTTCTCCCACTTTGGCCATTCTAGTTTCTCTGTAATAGTAAAATCTTAGTTCAACTAGGTGTGTTTGAGAATGAAATAAATTGTATTCTCAGGTTGGTTTGGTCACTATGATTCACACCTCCTATTATTTCTATTACAGCAAGGTAGATAAACACTTCATCAATTTAAACAGAACTATCTATTAACATAAGTTCAAATACTGATCTTTAAATTGATTGTGCCAAACATACACAATGGGTATGGAACATAAAAGTCACTCCTCACCCTGCAACACCTATGCATTTAGAGAACATAAGCTATTGTGTTGTTTGAATGCATTGCTCCCTGATCTGAACTCAAGGGCTAACTACATGACTATAGATAGGACTTCTCATTCTCAGGGAATCTTAGATATGCTGTACTGATACATTTCACCCAGGGCCATTTGTTGTGGCTTATAGCTATATAAACATCTGTTTTCTACTTGTCATCTAGCTATCACCCATCACACATCATGTGTGTCTATTTAGCTATCATTTATCATCTAGCTATTACCTGTCATCTATTTCTATTTATGTATCCTTTATTATCTACCATCTTCCTCTGTCTACAAATCATCCATCCATCCATCTATCTATCTATCTATCTATCTATCCATCCATCCATCTATCTATCTATCTATCTATCTATCTATCTATCTATCTATCTATCTATCTATCCATCCATCTATCTATCTATCTATCTATCTATCTATCTATCTCCTTCTTTGTATCTATCTTTCTATCTATAAATAATATACCTTTTCTCTCATCTATATCAATCATCTATAAATTATTAATCATCTATCTATCAATCTATTGAATAAATTTTACTTAAGTTAAAAAATAGTGATAGTATTATATGAGTACCTAAATCCTTAAATTATAAATGTTACTGTCTCTTTTTATTTTCCTTAAACACCTGGCTAAGTCTAATGACAGAGTTTTAAGGTCACCTTTAATGTTTACAAGCAGTTTCATTGTCTTCATACTCAGTAAAATGATTCAGTTGAATGTTATTATTCTGTAAATTTAGGTCTGCATAACAGAGTCACCTAAGCATTTATAGATAGCACTGTTGGCCTCACCTAGAACAAGAAGTTGTCATTTACACACTATCCTCAGCTTCTCTGTTTACCAAGTGGAAGGAAAAGAGAAATCAATTAAAGATTATTGAAAAGGTTTAAAACTGGAGAAAGTAAAATTTCATTTTCACTGAGAAATATAAACATAAATCCAAGTTGTGTGACTTTGGTCCTTTCCCAAAAGCTTAATAAAGTGTCTTTGGTGCTTTATTAACCAAGAACAGTGTAGGACAGCTGTCCTGGTTTTCAGCAAGCCTCTTCACTCACCTCATGTACTCATGTATAAGAAGGAAATTAGTGGATTAAGGATAGGACACAATGCATAGGCAATAAAGCGTGCATACTCTCCGTGGATTTCTGAAATTTTCAGCCTTTTCTCCACATCACAGTCAGAGCTACCCTTGCTTAAAATGTTAGTGATGTTGCATTATTCTTAGAATGGAGAGAAAACTCATCAAACATGATCTACATGGATGGGACAGAGTGACATTTTCCTGCCTCTTTGACCGCATCTGGTAACCTCCTTTCCTTTATTTTCCTTGTTCTTATTTAATCACCTTTATTTAATCTCTGAAACACATCAAAGCCCATATACTCCCAGCATACACAGGCATAGCCTAGCCTATATTGTCTTTTTTTTTTTTTTCCTTCTGGGAAGCTCTAGATCACCCACAACCCATGGCCCTTTAGCTGTAATTCCCTTTTCAGGGCAATGTTCCTTTTTTTTTTTTCAAAGTTCTTTGGTCAAAAGCCATTACCACTCTTTACCTAATTAATTCTTGTTCTTCTTTTCAAATTGTTGCTTTTCTACCATTCCTTCCTTGAATTTAGATCCAAACTTGGGTCAACCTCCCTTTAAATACTTGGTTTGCTTGCAATTTGTCCGTTGTAGTTTACATTTAGATGGTGATTATTTACCATAGCACTTGGCACATTGTTCCCATTCAAAAGGTGTTAACTGGACTCAAAATAAATGAAATCAGAAAATAAATGAGTTCCTTAGTTTTCTTGTATCTTCTCATTTCTGCACATAGTGATGAAAATATAACTGGATCCTTTTATGCTTTTAAAGATACTTTTTGGTCTCCTTTGGCAACCTACATTTATAGGTTTCTTATTTAATATTTCTGGGTTAAGAACTTCTTTTTTTAACCAAACCTAAAATTCTACTGATGAAATAAAAATCCGTTCTCCTTCTTTAATGATCTCCAAGTGCCATTCCTGATTCGCTGTATATTTCCATAATCAGTGTCTCTCCATTTTTGTATCTCATTCTTGTCTTTTAATTTTGATTATAGATACTCTTTCAGATCAATCCTGCCTGCAGGCACACAGGGAGGTCTTCTTTATTAAGGATCTGAGTTGGTATTAAAAATCCAAAGGTGTTTCTAACCGGGTTGTTCTACTTCAGCCAACTGTCTTCCCCTGAAGGAATCACATGCCCACAAGGGCTCGCCAGTGTCTTCTGAAGACACCTTCTTCCTGGGGACCACTCAGAAAGTAGAGACGTACATAATTAAGATATTCTTAGTTTCTTCGGTTGTTCCGGTGCTTTCTTAGTAGGCATGGGTAGGGAGGGCTTCACAGGGCCGAAAGTCTCCCCTTCCACATTCACAAAAGTCTGCACTCTGCATCCCCTTGACAGCTGCTGGCATCTTCCTGCAAAGCTTTCAAAGCAAAGGTCTACTCTTTATAGTGAAACCGGTGAGGCTCCAACACAGTGGCTGCGATCCTTATCCTACGCTGCGGTAAAATGCTCTAATTTAGATTCACAAAAGGATCCTGTCCCCCTTACTTAGGAGAGCTGTGCAATTTGTCCATAAAAGACTGTGCAGTGCCATTAACGCATACCATAAGTGCTCAGCATCTTTGCATTCATTAAACTGCACATCCTTATGCATAACCTTTCCAGCCTCAGAGCTTGTTTTCTTCCTTCGACGAGTGACAAATGGCAAAAGGGCAAGGGGGTCCCAAACAACGTTTTTGCCTGTGAGGACTAATGTGGAAACCTTAGCTTGATCCATAGCCAAAAACAAACCCAACCAAACCAAACAAACAAACAACAAAACCTCAATACTTTCTTACCTAAAGGAGTTTTTATTCTCTTGAAAACTTATTCTATGGCCAAGAGAGTGACCCCTTACCTCTGAACTTCAGACAGACAGTTTGACAATAGAAAGCCTTTGAGGACAGTGACTAGGAAGCTCCTTAGATACTGTTTAGTAAGCATCTGATGTATCCATCCTCGCTCCTGAGTCCTTGAGGAGAGGGAAGTTATAGAACATTAAAATATTAAAGTTTTTGAACTTTAGTCATAATTATAGAACTTTGCTTTCATTTTTAAAGTTTTTGTTAGCACATATTAGTTACACATAGTAGGGTGGTCATCCCACCATTTTCATACACGTGTGCAGTGTATTTTGTTGATATTCGCCTCTCATCACACTCTGCTGCCCCCTCCACTGGAGCTCATGTCCTCCCCTCCCCACTAGTCTTCCCCCGCACCTGTGTTTGCTTGTCTTTTGTTGTTGCTTGTTTCTTTTTTTATTTCAAATTTGTCTTTGTTTGATTTCTTTTTGGTAACTCAATGAGTTTAGCTAGGGCTACTTACAGAACACGGGTAAAGGGTGATTTTCAGGAGTTGGGGCTCCTTATTCGTAGCTACACCACCGAAGAAAATCTCTCTCCCTCACAGTCACCATTCAGTACCTATCGAACCTCAGATTTCTTGGTTTGCTCAAAAGAAGGGTGTTTCATATGAAGGAGTAGATGGGTAGATTGTTCTGCTTTGGTTTTGGTTTTAGAGGGGGAAGGAGAGTCTAGGAGACAATACAGATCTAAGCATGGAAAGCACTAACTCTACCACAGCACACATGCGCTCACAGTGACTCGTGGTTACCGTTCCAGACCGTTGTCTAAGGGGTTCTCCTTCTAAACTCTGCTCTTCTTTCTCTGATTCCTTCAGACATTCCTCAAGCTTGTGAGATTTCTTCTCGTTTTCATTTAGGTACACCTGAGAGCCTAGCAGAGAAGGAACGCCAGCTCTCCACCATGATTACCCAGCTGATCAGCTTGCGGGAGCAGCTCCTGGCAGCGCACGACGAACAGAAAAAGCTGGCAGCCTCACAGATCGAGAAACAGCGGCAGCAAATGGACCTTGCTCGCCAGCAACAAGAACAGGTGAGGCTGGCAAAAGGAGCCAGGGAGCTGGAGATGAGGTGGGGTGGGCGCCAAACTCCCCGAGCAATCACACTGATTGGTTTGTTTGTTATAGGCTTTCTTCAGAATGTAAAACCAGGAAAATTCAAAAGAAGAAAAGGAAAAGAAAGAAGGGAGGAGGGAGGAAAGGAGGAGGGAGACTTCTAGAAATCAAGTCTTTAAGAAAACTGAGGGCAAAGAAATGCATCTGAGCTAAGGGAGCATCCTAGCTAAGCAGACATGACTTTTGGAAAGTGTGTGACTTGAATTGCTTAGGTATAGTAATCTACAGAGGTGCCCAGCTAATCCCAGTGCTGCCATAGGTTCTCCCGGGCCTCCCTTTCCTCTCTAGAAAAGAAGGGCTATCTTCTAAAGAAACATTGGGACTTTTTAGCTCACTTGTCCAGTGATTCCTCGCCAGCCCCATACAGCTCGTTCCTGCCAGATATCCCTGTCTATCTTATGCTTACTTTCCAAGGTAATTATGACTACTTTGTCCCTCATCCATGAAGGTCGTATTGGTTTGGGTGGTGAGTTAGTCACTTTCTAGAGTGCAGATAAGTCACTGAAAGCAAATTAGTTCATGGCTCCTTAAAGGACTTGATTGACTCAGAAATGAGTATGAAGAAAAAGTATCAGAGTTTAAATGTATGTCTTTTAGAAAATGAACTACTTTTACAAATTATTTTCTTGTCTCCCAGATGCATTAATATAACAATGATCCTGTAGCATAGTCTTTCATGCCCTAGAACAGACAGACCCAAATTAATGTGCAGTTTTTAGAAATCTGACATTATTACTGGAATTATCTTTTCAGTTAAATGTATTTTACAGGATATATAGAGCAGTATATGCTCTGTTGATTTTAATGAGTTGTGACGTCTGGTATTTTATATGCTTGAGTATTTGCCCACATGTAGGAATATGGACTCAGCCCCTAATGGAAAATAACATAAAGGAACACTGTAAAAAATCAGAAGTTAGAATGTCATTTAGCCATCCAGAGATGACACAGTAATTAACTATTGACACTTGTGAATAAGCTAGCACAAATTAATCTTGACACATTTGCAGACGAGTGATATCTTACAGTGAACACTTTGTAATTATATTTCAAAATGAAAATTAAATGACACTTAAAACTAGGTTGTCATGCTCAATGAAGCGAGCATGTAGCTCAACCGATTGGCAAATAAAATTCAGAGTTTGAGCCACATGGTGCTTATGTACCATACTTCACTGTGTCAAAGTCATGTATGTAGAGTGGATGATGGTGATTGCGCTGTGGTGTTCCCGATGCATTTCTAGGCAGCACTTTATCATTTATGAGGGACCATCAATATTAGATGCCTGGTGGTGTTTCACCAGCTTGCTAAGAGGAAATAAATATTCAAGGGTTCCAGTGTCCATACCTAGAGCTACAGAGTGAGTGGTCCATTTCTGATTTGAGGGTTAGCAAGCCATCCTAACCTGGTTAAATACTGTTTCATTGGACTGTATGCTCTAGGGAAGAGAAATCCCAGTTCTCAAACTGGAGTCAATTAGAGGCCCCAGCATTATATTTCCAGTTTGAGCCAGCTGTCATCAGAAACCATGGAGCAGCATCGGGAAGTCTCCCTCTGTGCTGTCGTGTGCTGGGTGACATGCTCGGGTACTTCGCAGGTTCTAGGTGAGGGAGGGTGACAGGAAGATGTATACAGGTGGGGATTGGAGTCATCCGCACTATTTTCACATCCAACACAGCTTATTCTAAAATCTTGGCTTTTAGAAATAGGTAGAAGGAGGGACTCTTAATCACAAAGCACTATGGAATTATGTCCTCCTGGGTGCTATGCTCTTGGGCTCTCCCTGTCTCCTTGTTTCATAGTTCATGCTCTGGAAGAATCCTTTTTAGAGCCTAAGAATATGGTCAGTTGTAAGTGGGCAGCGAGTGGGCAGACAGGGAGCACCTGAACTCTGACTCCTGGTTAGTTAGGCAGCAAGCTCTGCCTTCTTATGGAAGTCTTTTGCCCTCCTAAGGGGCAGATGTGGTCTCCAGTAGGGTTTGGATTTCATCTAGTATTTCTTTTCATAGACCAGATAACTTTTCCAGATGCTGAGTTTGGTTGCTGTGTAAAGCAAGGAACCTGTACGCAAATCCTGTACTATAGAACAAGTGCATCGCTGTCATGAAAATGCTTTGTAGGTCAGAGAATGCCATCCAAAAAGCTAATTTTTTAATTGTTTACTATGTTTTCATGTCCCTTTGAGAATATTTGTAAGTGTGCCAAGGTCAAATGACGTAAATAGACCGGTGGCACATTAGGAAGCCCTTTGTTGCAGATTTTACTTTTCCCCGCCAGGCTAACCTCTGGACAAAAGTGGTCAAGGTTCTCCTCTTTTATTCTGGAAGGATCTAGTTTCCAATGTTCTGTGGTTTCCAGCCAGTCAATGTAAACTGAGGAGCTTGCTCTCAGTTAAAGCACAAGACTGTAGTTTGCATCTCTGGGTAAAGTAGGAGTACCCCATTGGCTCAGAATCTCCTCCTTTCCTCTCTGGTCCCACTGCCTCCATCCAAGGGGAGTCTTTCATATGGAGGAGCAGTAAAGCATCTGCAGTAGTAGGAGAGAGCGGAGGTAACGGCAAAGGTGCAAAGCATTTCATTTTAACCTAATGGAACTTTATTTCTGATAGATCGCAAGACAACAGCAGCAACTTCTCCAGCAGCAGCACAAGATTAATCTCCTGCAGCAACAGATCCAGGTCAGTGTGTTTTATTACCTCATCTGATTACCCAATGTGCTTTTCCTTGAAAATGGAATTTAAGGTGTTGTAAATGCACGACTGTCTTATCAACAGTGCCAGTGTGTCTGTTATTTGAGGATGATGCGGTACACAGTTGTCCAAGGGGACAGCCAGGTGGTAGTCACAGCATTCTCTGGTATTATATGTGAGCAGAATACACTTATCCACCCTCCTCAGCCCTGCCTTCTTCCATTTGCCCTAATGCCACCAAGCTAAAACTTCCTGGTTTCCAAAGCAGCATACACAGATGGCTGTTTTCACTGTTAAAAGCCACTTTCTGCTTTGTGTTTTATTGTGTGATACAGGGTCACAGAGGGAAGACTACTTTTATTTCCTCATTAGGACTGGTTGGGTCAATTCTGAGAAGAATCTGGGAAAAGCCTGGTATTTATTAATTTCTTTCTTAGCAAGTTCTAGCTGCACTGTCTTTGGATGCTAAGGAAAACAGACTGAGAAATGAACAGTGGCCTGTCTTCAAGGAGCTTACAATTCAGGCAGAAAAAAAAGGTTCTGAATAATTATAACCTATTTTGGAGAAGTCAAGTCATTATTTTTATTTGTTTATTTTTCTATAAAAATGTGCAGTTCATTACAAGGTCTGCGAAGGGAAGGTGATGGTCTGATTTATGTTGTTCCTTTAGACAATGATTAAATCAGCTAATAGCTGTTTCAGATAGGTGGGGAGAACGCCTTCTATTTCTGAGTAGAAACCTAAGTGTGTGAATTGTAGAAAGTGCTAGAATAAGGCACTGGTTGTCTAGGTTAACCTGCAGAACATTGATCCCAGAGCTATGCTTAGCCAACCATAGAATTCTTCTCTTTTTTGTTGTATTTTCTAATCTGCTGGGATCTAGCCACTACAGCTGGGCCAGTGTCTTTTGAGGTTTCTCAGCACCTTTACCGAGTGCCTCCTTGCGCTCCCAAAGCACCAGTGACATAACTCATAGCCTCCTCTAATGTTCTACTGTATTGATGAATGCCAGTGATTTTAACTTAGATCTTTCCTTCATTTTGTTAATCATTCTTAGTGTTCTGGGCACCGTGACTACACTGAAAATTCGAACAGTGTCTGAAGAGGTACCTCTCTTCAATTTAGCTTTTTGTTTTGGCAACTTCGCTTTGAAGATTTAGCTGGAATGTGTTGTCTGGTTTTGTTCCGATTCTGTATTCTATATTCACATCCACATTTCAAAATCAAGATAGAATGTCCTTTGCATTTTGATGGTCAGACTTCACAATTAAATCTGGGAATAATTTCTCATCTTTTTCATGCCTCATGCTGGGGTCCTTAATTACATGGCTATCCAGGTGTCCCCTTGTCTGCACTTATTAAAGTTTCCAGTGTATTTCCTACTCCTGGGGTTACAATTTTTAGTCTGTGGTTTCTTACATGTTTCTCTAGCTTTCTCCAAGAACTCAGGGGTGTTAAGTAACATGACAGGTTAGTTCCCTTTGTGGGCTCTCCTATAAGGGTATGTATTTATGTATTTCTAATCTATTCTGCTTTTTCATCCAATGTTATTTATGCAACTGACAGTCTTGATTGGCATCTTTCTATGCTCCTGGAAACCTCAGATGAATAGCTGTCAGTTAGTAGTATTTTTATGAAATAGTATAATTATTAATTACATATGGTTTTATTATTGTAACATGAAATTTATGTGTTTTAAGTAAATATGGGACACAATCTTAAAATATTAATCTGAATATTCACTTTAAGAGGATAGAGATCCCATAGCTCAGCTGGTAAAATGCTTGGTACTCAGCATAAAGACCCAAGTTCCATTCTCAGAACCCTACTTAGAATCCCAGCACGGGGGAAACAGAGACAGATGTACTCCGAGGGTTTGCGGGCAAACCAGATATAGCCTCAGTGGTGTAAGCTCTAGGCCAATGAGAGACCCTATCTTAATAAAATAAAATGGATAGCACACAAGAACTTGATGCAAGGTTGACTGTTAGCCTCCACAAGCATATAATTGACATATATGCACGCTTTCCCACATGTATCCACTCAAACATACATGTGCGTGCGCACACACACACATTCACACACATATACACACGAAAAGAATATAAACTGGTTTCTAATAGACTTTTAATTATCTATTTTTGATACATTTTTAATGATTTAAATTTTTAAAAATCTAATCAGCAATTGAACTCAGAAATCAAGTTATAAAACAGCAAAGGTACACAATGTTCGTGTTAGACTCATTCTAGGGATTTAGATTTCTTTCTAACAAGAATCCATGCTTTTCAAAACAAGAGAACAGTAAGGCTTATGTTTACTGTTCCTTCTGTCCTGGGCTCCTGCTACATGACCTATCTTGTCAGCACTTATCTTATCAGTGGGAGACCATTCTAAGAATATTTCAAATGCTGAAAACACTCCTTGCACAAAACATATTTATCTCTGACACTTACAAAGCAAGTTTTGATATTCAACCTTTCAGCTAGTTCTTGGGGAGAGTACATGAGTTAGCTGTATTTTTAAAGATGGTTTCTCACCAGTCATAGACATAATCTTATTTATAAGGTTACAGTTGGGTTAATTTTAATGTACTTTTGGAGGGAAAATGTGAGATTAAAAGCTAGTTCAATAATACTTTTTAAAAAAATCATACAAAGGAAAATATGTGTCCATCTTATACAGAACTAGCCAGATGATTAAAAATTAAATCTAGCCTTTTAATGTTTTCTTATTCTGAGACAGAGTCTCACTGTGTAGACCAGGCTGGCCTAGAATTTAGAGAGATCAACTGTTCGGCCTCCCTAGCTCTGGGATTAAAGACCAGTTTAACTGCTTTTCATAAAGTTCCCAATGACTCCAAAGGCAATTTGAAAGGTTTAACACTTTAACCTTCTACAATCTTGAGTCCTAGAACCTATTAGCCCACATGTTCAGCAGGAATTGCTTTTATAATCAGCTGTAGGTATTAAGTTGCTATATTCAAGACATTATTCTAGTTCAGTATGCTGATTTGTTTTTCAATTGGCAAGCTTTAGCAGAAAGGGAAAAGTGTCTAAACTCTCTTAACAACTGCATATAAACACATCTGGACCTGTTTTAAGAGCAACAAATGAAAACTTCAATGATTTGCCCAAAATGAAAACCATGGTCTTTCATTAGAATTAGGAAAAGACATTATTGAGATGGTCTTGTAAAGGCTCCATGAGAATTTTCTTTGTAATCATTCAGAACATATATGTGCAGTTGAGATAATTTTTCCTTTATATTTTTTCTTCTTTGTGCACATATATTTTCTTCTTTATGTATACACACACACACACACACACACACACCCCATAATTTTCTTGGTGGATCCTAACTATACTTTTTAAAAAGATTCTTCTAAGATTGTGTAAGTAGAGTTAAAAAATATAATGAAGGATTTTGTGAACTTTTAAAATAGTTTTCATGAGCTAATGTTTACATTTTTAAAAATCAGGATAATAACTTAAATGATAATTACCACAGCTTAATGTTAACAGATGCTGTTGGCCTGGTGAACTCAAATCCACTTGTGTCTTTGGGGGAGCTGGTGATCCCTTGAAGTTGTTACATACTAAGTGAATCTCCTCAATGGAACCCAGGAAAAGTCAGGCATGATTTATATTCCCAGGACAGCATGACCATAAAATGTAAAGCTAACCCACCTTCCCTAAGAGCTGCACTGTGGTACCTCGCCAGTGTTCTGAAGCACTTTATTCTTGAGTTATGTGAGCTGACATACAAAACCCACTTTTGATGTATCAAATTGTTGTTATAGTGTTTTAATCAACTAGTCAAGGGAAGGCTTTATTAGATGAAAAAATATTTTATAAATCCAGATACTTTGATTTCCTTATGCATTTCTTCATCTAGTCTCATTGGGCCATATCATACGTTTGAATCAGAGAAGTCATTCTTCATGGATACAATAGCCTATACTGCGGCACCTGCACCCTGTCATTAGGATTACATTCAACGATGGCATCTCATGCTGCAATTTCATCTTTGTAAGAGAGTCCAGCTTATTAAAATAACTTTGTGAATAAAAACTTACTTTTCCAGAGATGTATGGAGTTGCCCAATTATCAAAGTATTTTCAGACTAGGGTTTAGAGTCAATCAAATGGTCTGACTTCAAGACTGACTAAAGAACGGTCTCCTGTGGAGGAACTGCCTGCTGGGGTTCCTCGGGCGCTTGACTTTCTGGACAGAAAGAGCTGTCAGTTCATACAGCATGGCTTCTTGAGTCAACCTGGGAAACTTGGAATCATTATCTCTCTATTTTATGATAAATATCCAGATATTCCTTGCCCCCATCCACCATTTCAGATACATGTTAGGTTGGAACTCAATTCATAGAGAAGCAGAAACAAATGCCATGCTGTTTCTTTCCAGAGACTTTGCTATGCTGGAAGTCTTCTCTTTTAAGTGCTGTAGGACCCAAATTGTTTTTCAGCTTTATTTCATGAAAGATTTATTCTTTTCTTAGGAGCACATGATATTTTCATATCTAGTATTTTCTAGTTTAGTTATTCCTACATTCTGCCATTTTATTTCATGTGTGCCTGCATTACTTGTGTGGTAGAGCACCAATAAATGTGTGTTCTCCTTCCCCCTGTGAGTTAATCAGAGATATACAAATATTCTAAGCAAGAACATGATTATCTTAAGCAATCAAACATGGTGGTTTGAGACAGCCTCTGGCTTTGAGCTAAACTTTGCCTGTGGCTTCCTTCAGCATGATTAACTACAGATATTTCAGGTATCTGCTGAGCAGGATAAAGGACTACCTTTGTATGTGAAGTAGTTATCTAAAGATCAGAAATAATTGCTTTGTACATTAGCCTTCATGGCCTGCTTGACCTGGTTAATTAATTTTTTGCTAGCATAAAATAATAGATATATATTTAAGGATATGCTTCATCGTTAAGTATCTAATTGACCTCTAATTTTAAGAGCTGGGC